GGGCCGAGCCGAAATCGACGTCCGGGCCGACGTCGATTTCGCGGGCCAAGCCGAAATCGACGTCCGGGCCGACGCCGCGGGCCAACCATACCAAGGAAGCCCCTGCGCCCGCGCTCCTCGACGGCATGGCGCCCCCGGGCCGACGCCGCGGGCCAACCATACCAAGAGAGCCCCTGCGCCCGCGCTCCTCGACGGCATGGCGCCCCCGGGCTCGCCATATGCGAGCACCCGGCACCCGGAGCGCCGCGAAATGCGCAAGCCGAAGGCCGGACGCGTTGCGAAATGTGAGGCACCAGCATCCGGGACGCCCCTGCACCCGTTGCCCAGACGGTGCGGCGCGCCAGAGCCCGCCCGACAGGTATCCGGGGGCGCCTGGCTGTCTGCTCGCTTTCTGTAAAAGCAGAGGGCGCCGGGCGGCCTGAGGAGGCAGGCAACCTGGCAGCCGCTCTTCAAAATGCCCGGCCGCCGCTGGCGCCGCGCTGGCCGACCCCGCTGGCCGAGGCCTTCGCCCAGCAGCGCGGGAGCGGACCTGCAGGGGCAAAAGCTTCCCCTCCTGCCTGATGTGGTCGGCGGGCCCGTTCGGGGCTTGGGCTTCAACCTGCCCGACGCAGTCGGGCGTCTTTTTCTGAGTTCGTTTCGCGTCGAACAGACCCGCCTCCGCCTCTCCCACTTTTTGCGCCTGGGTGATCGATTTTGCCGCGGCAGCGTTCCACGCCACAAATGCCGCGCAATTGAATGGCGCCGCGGTTTACGAAGTCGATGTTGCTCAGGCCCCTGCGGCTGGTTTTTTGGCCTGGCTCAGGAATTCTGGTGTGGCCGTGCTTGTCCAGATGATATCGAGGCGAAAACCCGCGAGCGCGATGAAATATCAGGGTGAAATATTCCGTCTCCTCCCATTCTCGACTGAAAGAGCAGGACACGTATCTTTGCACGAGTCGTCTTTGTCATGCACATCGAGCAGTACGCAAGTTTTACCTCTGACTCTAGGTGCCTTCCATTTTTGGCATGCCTCTTCTGCAACTGTAGGAAAAGGGCTGTTCCGGATGCAACACGGCATTGCATTGCAGTGCTTCGTAGTGAGTTCCACCCGCAAACACTTGCTTGCACCGGTACGGCATATCAGAGTTTTCTTCGGGTATTGGGGACGTTGGATTTTGCATCACGATACCTGCAGGTGGCTAAGCTGAAAGCCGAGCGCGACTCACTTCTGAGCGACAATCTCCAGCTGCATATCCAGGAAAAACGTACGTATTACAACATAGGCTGATGTGATTGGCATTGTCGCTGCAGAGGTACTAAACGACTGTATACGCCTGTCCATCTATCGAACATTGGCGATTGCATGCTCACTTATGCATGGATAGTGCTGAATACAGTGGATAGCGCTGAATTCAGACCTTACGAAAATTTACTGCCATGGGAAAAGAATTGCATATCAGCACACCCACGGTCCGTACACTTTTTCGCAGGATAGTATAGGAAGCGTTGCATACCATGTTGAAAAATGGTCGCAGCATTCGAAATCTGTCATGCCGTAACGGACCAAGAAGAAAACTGCAATGCATTTCTGATGTCACAAAGCGTTCCGTGCTTCATCCTCGGATTTGTTCACAACGGGGTGTGCATACTTTTCTAGCTGGCAGTCTTTGTGTGCACATTGGTATGAAGAAGGACTCACTATGCTACGAGCACTTTTCTCATCGATGCAGCAAGACCACAAAGAGCTCCTGAAAAAGCAGACCGATAAGGTGACCAGACTGGATACCCCGTGTAAAATTATTCCCGCTGTATGCATGAACACCGTTCCTAATGCACAAGTTTCTCCATAAATGTAGGAGTTGCGCAAAAATTATTCATCAGGAAGCGCAATTTTTTTCACAAATCAGAGACGCGTGGAGTGATGGTGGATAATTCTGATGCTGAGCTACAAGTCCTTGCGCAGTTGCTGCGAAGTTTGCTAGCTGTCCAGCCATATAACGTTTGGATATGGACCGGGAAAAGTTTTACACGGGATTCCAAAAACTGAGGTGACCGACCTGAATATCGAGGAAAAAAACAAACCCATCACCAACTTGCAATTGTATACATGAAGGGCAAGAATGTGATGTCTGGCATGATCAAAACTCTTGCCTGTGATGCACCTGCATAACCGTCGAGGCAGGCTTGAAACTACGTGGCCGTCCTGCATTTTTGCGCAGCACGACATGCATTTTTGTATCACAGATTCGTAAGACGGTGCTGGTGGTGTACTCTTTTCCTTCGATATTGCCCGGACAGGTGGAAGAGGCCCGGGAAAAGGCTGCGTCTCTGCAAAAACAAGTCGACGAGCTAGACATATGCTGCGCAAAAGTACATCCTCGTTCCAGATTCTTATCATACCTTCCGTGCCTTTCTTCTTGTTGGTTTTCAGTGCCTTTGCCTTTTTTTACCGCAGCGCTGTTCCTGCTCTCCGAGCGGAAAAAGTCCCCGTTTCCCAGGACAGGAACAAGCGGCTTCTTTTCGTCATTCGTCGTTGAATGTTGAGAAGCTTGCAATGACATCACAGGTCGGGGAACAATATAATGCATTTACAAACCGTTTTAAGTTTGGTATGGTGGATCCGTGGATCACGTGTAGTTTGTGCAGAATAAACAATGGAACTCACCAGTGCGAAGATGAACGAAGCCGCCGCTGAACTAGAGGTGAAGAACGTCCAACGCGAGCTGGAAAAGAAGGGCCAGCAGATCGCCGCGCTGCGCCAGGAGCTAGAGGAGCTGCGAGAGAAAATGACGGAAAAGGACAAAGAGCACGACAAATTCATCGAACAACACAAGAACGCCCTCTACCAGAACGACGGGATCACGGACATCAAGCGGAAAAAGGACGTAAATGCGCTCCAGCGGTACATCATGAAGAAACGAGAGCTGGACGAGGAGGTCCGGAAGGCGCACGAGGAAATCATCAAGGGCTTGTGCGAGGAACTGCGGATGGCCCAAGAAGAGGAGGAAGAACAGCGGAATCAGAACAAGCGCAAGCAGATGGACGATTTGGAAGAGTTCGACAACGCGTACCAAGGAAAGCGGCAGAAGACGACGGCGCGGGAGGAGGAGCAGAATTCGTGATCGGGGTCGGGGAGACAAGGGGTTGTCATAGGTCGGAGGTGATGATCACGAAAACGAAAAATAGCACAAATTGAATCATAATCCTCACGCAAAGTCTATCTTCGAGGCAAACAGCTTTTCAACAGGTTACAACTTTGTTGTTCCAAGAAAAAATTACAAATTGACTCAACTTTACTAATCGTGTTTTAGCAATTTACTAATCGTGTTTTACCAAGTGAAGCGACTTCTCCTATTTGCCAGATTTCGTACAGCATCACAGATTATATTACCGTTTGTTTCAAATTCACCTTGACAAAATCCATTTCAAAAATTCTATGAAGAGCTTTTCCGTTTGCAACAGACACGTACATCATGACAGACGAAAAATACAGTCAGGTTTCATTTAACGACTTTCTCCAAATTGCAATCAACGTTTCGCACTCCTGAGTTTCACACTTTTATGCCGGGGGACGAGCAACGTTGCTGCTGTGCTACTAGTACGGTGACTTCAACGCAGGTTCCTGCATGCTCCGAAACTTGTGATGCAAAGAAGGGTTTGTTCTGTCATGCAATCCTAGAGACTTTGGGACTTCGTCGCCCTGCTGCGCCCAAATCGACGTGCTTCAGTGCCTTACTGTGTTTGGTTTATACTAGCAGCGTTACAACTCCCCCTGCATACAAAAACGAGCAAAAACCTACCGGAAATTAACAGCCAAAATATTGTAAAAACGCAAAGCAGAAGGACCGGGAACAAGAAGTTAATGTTATGTTACTAACGCACCGAAATTCAAATTATCGATGTTGCACAGGTTTCTGTTTCAAGTTTCAATCAGTTTCATCAGAAAGTTTACCACCAAGAGTAGAATACAGACGACAATACAAGGCAGGCAGCTTGTTTATTTGACAGACAAAGACACAGATCAGGGTTTTGTATCACGACTTTTCCTCGGAACCAAAATTAATCCAAAGATGGAACTCACGCTACTTAGGAATAATACACCACCAACAAGCAAACGATTTAGGAATACACCAGCAACTAGAAAATACAGAACACAAGCTTTCATCAAGACGACAGGAAAACAAATGAAGTGCTTTCCTTCCATGAGATGCAAAGCAGCACCTAAAATTGCAAATTCTGAAGCCTTAGAAGACTCCCTTTACGCGTAGCTTTTTTGCAAAATAAAAATGTACACTGGGAAAGCAAAAAGTGCGGACCTGTATATATGAAAAAGCAACTGTACACTAGTAGCCGCAGAAAATCAAAGTCTGCGACTTCGCTGCCTAAGCGGAATAGCTGCAACCTTGTTGTGCAATCGATGGATCGATGTGACCGGTGTGTTCTACTCCGGAAAGCTAGTAGAAACTGTGTACTTGTCCAACTCCTCATCCCGATCAACCGAGAGACGGTCTTTACGCTGCGGTCGGTTTTTTTTGTTCTGCTTTTTCTTCGTTCTCCTGAAAACAGTAGAGTAAATATGCGTTTCGCTATGCCTTTATCATCTAGGGTGGTTTTTCTGATCGGTGGCGGAAATGACGTTGTCTAAGTGCTACAACATGCGGCGGCGGTGGTCGGTTTCTTGTCTTCCCGTCGAGTCGCGAAGCGGTTCTTCTTGGAGGTGTTGTTCACGGCCCTTTGCACAGCCCGTGGCGCCAGTTTTTTCCTTTTGCGAGTAGACAGTCCGGTCCGCTGAGGAAACCATGAGTGACGCGCAGCGGGATCAAGCGCCACTGCTTCCGAACGGGCCGCAGGAGGACACGAATGCGGGAATGCAACGGCCGACCACCCCCGCATCGCGCGATGATGCTGGATCTTTACTACAACCTGTGCAACAGAGCGACCCGGTAGCGGCTACCACAGCTCCCTCCGCACCTGGAAATCCGGAAGAACCCTCGTCCCGCGCGGGAAATGCGCAGCAAGAACTGGAAGAACACGACGCACAGCTGTATCGCCTGAAAGAAGAGCATGTCCAGGGTTCGGTGTCAGTTCCTAATTTGAAAGTAAACTTGCAGGTGTGCTCGTGAAAGAACTCGGTACAAGATGTTGTAGTAGTGAAAGCAGCTTGTTGATTCCAGATGCGGAAAAAGTACTTACTAATGCGGAGGCATCAGAATCTGCAGTGAGACTGATACTCCCTGGACGTGCACATGTTTGTTTTCCATGAGCCGCAAGTTGCGGCTGGACGCAGCGTCGCGCAGCTGGGGGAAACGATACTGGAAGAACGGCAGAACCCTATTCCGAGCAGGCACATTACATCGCATGAACCCGTTGGTCTACAAACACCGGTGTTGAACGCAGCGGTGGTGGGATCGCAATCGCAGCCTAGTCGGCAACCACTTGAACAAGAAACAACGGCAGATGTACAAGACCCTTCTTCGCTATTTCAACATGGCATAGCGATTCAGCCGAGCGACTTGCGCATCGGGATGGAACACTCCCAAGCAAGCCATCTGCGCACCGGAACAGCACTTCTCGGTGGCAGCGTGCACAGTGAGGGTGCGCAGCGCAGTGGCGACGCGGGGCCCGGCATGATGCACACCACAGCAGGATCTACTTCTCTGCTTGAAACTAACGTGAACACGACGTCACCGTCTAATAAGCTGCGAACGGGGAAATCCCAGTCCGGTAACGTGCACATAGCGCAGTCTAGCAGCGTGGGATCGCAGCCGAGCAACGTGTATCTGGCGCAGTCTAGCAGCCGGCAGACCGGCGGTGGATCCCGGCCGAGCAACGTGGGTTTTGCGCAGTCTAGCAGCCTGCAAAGCAGAGTTGGATCGCAGCCGAGCAACGTGTATGTGGCGCAGTCTAGCCACCCCCGCACGGGTGGGACCGAATCGCGCAACGCACAGGTGAATATCTCTGTGCAGAGCCGCGCTGCGCCGGGGGCTCAACTGCAGAAGACAACTAATCTAGTACAGAATAGTGGTTCATCACAGCCGAACATGGACGCAGCTCTGCACCAACCCACACTACCGCCTGCAACGGCGTCCAACATTGATCCAGCACAAGGACACGACTCCGCGGTCCAGCGCGGAGCCCAGCGGCCACCCCTGGCACAGCAAGAACGGGCCTCACAGCCAATCAACCACCCGCGGCGCAGCGAGTTGCGGTCCGAAAATTCCTCTCATGATACCTTTCCTGTGAGAGGACTTTTTGCCGCAACGTCGGCATCGTCCCACGCCCCCACGGCGACGAGCACCGGCAATGAACTTTTTGCTCCTCCATCTGCTGGCGTTTTCCCACATGCTGGTGCCTCGTCTTCACGCCAACCAAGCAGCGCGACCCAGGCGACGGCTTCGGCTTCAGACAACAGGTTCGCACCAACTTCCCGCAGCGCCGGTGTGCAGAATTTCTCGTCCCTATCAAATGCAAAAATATCTGGGTCTCAAGTCTGGGGGATTGCAAGATTTGTCATGCGTATTTTGTATGACCCATAACGCCTGTTGTGCAGGACCTAGCATGACAGGTTCTGTTAGGTCCTATCATGCCTATCCTGCATGAGAAACTTCCTCTCAGCTTGGTCAAAAGTGGACAGCTTTTGGCATTCATGCAACACAGATTTTTGCACGATCCAGAATTAGCATTACAGGTTGCAACCTTCCAGACCCAGACATTTTTGCAATGCATAATCCCAATATGCCGGCAAGACGCAGACCGGAGGATCCCAACCCAGCAACGTTGGAACCGCGAGGCCACGCCGTTCTCCACCAACTGGGGCGACTGGGTAAACGAATGCTTTTATAACTTTTCTAGATAAGTTCTTGAGGACGTTCTGCCAAAGAAACTGCTCCAGTCGAGTTTTACTAAACAAATTCTTGCTTGTTCTACGTTTTCAGTATGTCGGAAAATAAGCTCTATTTCGTTTTGATGCTTCTAAAGAACACGAAGACACCACGAGAAACTCAACAGGTTACTTGTGGACCGCACACACGACGAAGCTGCGGCTGCACAGATCGGGGAATCGCGGCCTCCGAGAGTAACAGGGCACTTCAACCGACTGCAAGCCCGGATCAGACGCCTCGGAGGAACTGTAACAGACGGGGGTTCGCAACCTAGCAGTGCACAACCCGGCACTTCGTCCTCCAGCAGCAGTCTATTCCATATAAAAGTGCACCCAGCCTGGGACGAAGCTTTCTATACTTCCCGGACTCCCACAAAAAACTTGGGTACTTTCTGGCATTCAAGAAACAAGTTTTCTTGGTGGCTGATGCTGAAAAAAAAACTGAGAAAGTGACGCTGTGAAACCTAGAAATCAACGGACTCCGCTCGGGCAACGTCGTTTAAGGTTTCCCGGGAAACCTTCGGCGTAGCTCGTGCTAAAGTGTGTCGCAATGCAACCGAAAAGGCGGCGCGCGCATGGACTCCGCTGCTGTTTGTGTACACAACCGCGCCGCGTCTGTGTTGCAGTCTCTTGTGCCCAAAGCGCCGCAGACGGCTGCGGATTGCGAGCAACCTGGCGGCCCCGGCAAACCGGCGCACATTTTCGCCTGGCCTAACTTGGGCCGCTTCAGACGATCTTCCGCCGGTGGCACGGCCTCGCTTTGGGCGGAGGATTTTCCAGCGGATTCGTCAGAGGGCCCGAAGATCCTCTGTCGGGTCCTCTGGCCCAATTTGGACCGCCTCGGGCGGCCTTTCCCCGATGGCACGGCCTCGATTTGACCAGAGGACTTTGCAGAGGACCCGTCAGAGGACCCGAAGATCCTCTGTCGGGTCCTCTGGCCCAATTTGGACCGCCTGGAGCGACCTTCCCCCGGCGGATCCCCTGGGGGAAGGCGGATCCCCTGGGGGAAGGCGGATCCCCGGGGAACGGGCGGATCCCCGGGGAACGGGCGGATCCTCGGGGAGCGGGCGGATCCCCTGGGGGAAGGCGGATCCCCGGGGCGCGGGCGGATCCCCTGGGCGAAGGCGGATCCCCTGGGCGAAGGCGGATCCCCGGGGAACGGGCGGATCCCCGAGGAGCGGGCGGATCCCCTGGGCGAAGGCGGATCCCCGGGGAGCGAGCGGACCCCCGAGTAACGGGCGGATCCCCTGGGCGAAGGCGGATCCCCGGGGAACGAGCGGATCCCCGAGCAGCGGGCGGATCCCCGGGGAACGGGCGGATCCCCCAAAAAAATCCACAAAGCGAAATCACGACGCTATGCCTATTTTTTTCCCGTCATTCTAAACACAAAAAAACCACGCTGCCGCCGTGGTTTGTTGGCTTAGGTCTCAGAGCGTCAGGGTCTCAAAAAAAAACCTGAAAAACTTGTGATACTGTCCTGCCAAAGCATAGTTTTTTGCGAAACAAAGACTTGCAACGCCGATTATTTGATTTGCAAAGTGTCGTTGGGCTCACTTTATTTCCTTTTGATGCAATGTCCCGTCCCAACCTGCGCAGCCAGGCCACTCGCAACCGTCTCTGCTTGGCGCGAATGCACAAGGGCAGCACAGTATGCAAGAAAACAAGAGCAGTTGTGTTTATGTCTATCAAACATTTTCTGACGAGAACAGCACCTACGGGCTGGCACGACAAGAAAATATCGCCATTGACGAGGACCACGACAGCACTGTTGTAAGAACATAATTCACCACATTGCATCCCCTTTTACTTTTAGGCACAACGAGCAGGAGTGTGACTGCCTAGTAATTTTTTTGCAATAGAAGAAACAGGAGACACAATAAACACAGCCCGGCTTATTTTCTTGGATACGAAGTAAAGCTGTAGCTCCAGCCGTCGCGGACCAGGAGATCAACATCCCCTACCCAGACTTCGAGCAGTTTTTCGACACGGAGCTAACCCGCGCAAGAAACGAAAGACGGAGCAGCATGCAATCCCTGTCGGAGCGTTCTCCCGGCGGAACCTGCGACGCCGCGTACGTGGAAGGCCTGGAGAGGCAGGTGGAGAACTTGAAGTGGGACATCGAAAACACCACCAAAACCGCACGTGCAATGTGCGTCGCCGACGTTATCAAATGCAAATATGTTTGGGTCTGGAAGATTGCTAGGTTTGTCATGCATATTTTGTATGACCCACGATGCCTGTAATGCATGACCTAGTATGATTATCACAGACTTTATTTAGAGGGCACTCTCCCCTGCTCCGCATGAGAAATGCCCTCCCCACGTAGCACAGCCTGTAATCCTCTACATACAAGATATATTTTGCTCGAATCCAAAGACAGCATCGGAAATTGCACCCTTCCCGACCCAGACATATTTGCAATGCATAAGCATGCAAGGATATCTATCTCGTGCAAAATTGATGGCTGGGCTTGAGAAGGCGTAAACGCTCCGCGAGAACGCCGCGGCCGGGCCGAGGACCGAAACTCTGGGGCAACATCCAGTGGCCGGTCGGCCAACGGTTGCTTTTGAAGGCATGATTTTTTAAAAAAGGAACGAACAGCGAAAATTTAAAAGTATGCTTGGCTGCGCTCTGCAGTCCGATTCCCCCAAATGAGCACTTGCATTCGCGGCCCAGACAACATCACAGTGCTTGCATTCGATGTCGGCAAGATTTGGCGCAGCAATTTAGCTGGGAACTGACGGAAAACTTTCGGCTGAAACGCCAGACAATCGACTTGGAAAGCGATTTGCGTAAGGAGAAGAAGAGGGCCGCAGCCTTCGAACGGCAGAACGCGGAGCTGCGTGCGGGAAAAGGGTTGAAAGATGACTTCATCAACCCCTACGCCAATGCCGCACTGGTCACCTATCTCGTGAAGAAGTTTCCCACCGAACTTGAAGGCGGCACAGATGCCATCCGCATTGAGCACGCCGTCGCGACCGACGCCGCGAGAACCGCAAACTGCCTGATGATGGAGGGTTACTACAACGATCTCCATGTGCTCGAGGGCTTCGTTCGTGCTGAATACGACAAGCCGGAAATGCTGCCACCAGCGGTACAGGAAGTGCTCCAACGATCCACGCCTACCTTTAGCTCCATAACCTATCCTTCATAAAAACGCTCTCACGCGCGCCTAGTGGTCATGACCATTTGCATTTGACGCAAAGGCATTTGTCATGCACCGTGGCACGACGGTGCTCCACGCACAACGGGTAGCCAGACAGGTTGTGGTCGCGAGCCGGCGTCTTCAGGTGGAAGACCAATAAAACTGCGAGTATATCACACACATTTCTTCGTGGCGCGGGTGTGGGAACGTTTTTACCCAGAATGAAGCCGCGCCCAAAGTTGTCTCTACGGCTTCCTCGAGACAGGTCGGCAGCAAGTTTGAGAAGGACGACACCACAACGTGGATCTATCCTGTAGCAAAACTGGCCTTCTGGTCTCACACGTTCAGCAAAGTCTGTGGTGCAAAATTTTATTCTACAAATGAGTTTGTCTTGCAGAAAGGCAAAAAAAGGTTGTGGCATAGGTTTAGGGTTTAGGGTTTTTGGCAGGAGGCGACTTCTCGTCTGTATTCCGGGTCGTATTTTACGTATTTTTCCAGCCCACTCCTGTCAAGCTGAAATGGCAACGCTTCTGTTTGACCACTACCCACAGCTCCAATCTCGATATCTGGTAAGGCAGGTGTGAGTAGTGTCCGCCCGCATGATGTTCCGTAAATTTTCCTGCTTCACAGACTGGAGGTTCTTTTTGCTTTGATACAATCACGACAGACTTCACCGACGCAGACCGCACCAGTGCGGCAATCACCGATCTCAAATCTGCGCACCGTCTCATCCAGCAGATGGCACTGGATAACGCGAACATGACCCAGCACGTTGCAAGCATGCGGGAAGCACTGCAGCAGGCGTACGAGGAACAGTGTCTGTCCGAAATGGAATGCGACTACCTCGTGTGCGAAACCTACGACTCCGTAGACTCCAGGATCCGGAAACTCGAAGAAGACTACCCCGGCTTGTGGGATCAAATGTGCAGCTACTGTCGAGCAGACGAAATCGTGCCAGGCGATGATGCCGACTGGCACCAGTTCTTCAGCAGCATACCTACGATCGAAAGGAGGGCTAAGGAGAAAGCACGACAGGCTATGCTACGAGAGGGTGAAACACTGAACCTGTCATGTCAGTCGGCACTGAAATGTACTGAACAAGAGAGCACTTGCTTCGTTTAGGTTTACGTTTCAGTACCTTGGTCAGAAATAAAAGTGGTCGGCCGCTTTGTCTTATGCAGTGTGATGTAGTACAAAGACAGTCTCCTAATCTGCAGGCACATTCCAGCTCAAAATGACATGACTGACAGACATTTTTCCGCCTGATCTTATCCGAGAGAAAAATCCCCCATCCCCGTACTGAAATGAAAACTATGTGATGCGGATTTGCGTACACGAATTGCCTCGGACTGCAGCGAAATTTCAAAAGGCAGCCCCCCGGTCGCTTGGTCGACCCAGCGAGCGGGGGGGTACCGGAAGAGGGCGGCCTGCCTTTGCTGCTTCAGTTTCTGGGCGGCACGCTACCCGCAGGCGGCGCAATTTTCAAGGGGCCGCCCCCCGGTCGCTTGGTCGGCCAAGCGAGCGGAAGGGCGGCCAGCCTTGTCCGGGCCACTTCCTGGGTGACACGCTGCCCGCAAGTGGCGCGTTTTTTAACATTGTACACAGATGCAGACGCCTGCGTGGCGAGTAGCATTATTTCGTTGGGGCTTGACTGTTTTGTCAGCCCTTCGCCAAACAGCTTCGGCAGCAAAATAACAAATAAAAGTTGGCTGCCGTTTATGTAGTACAGTACGGGCTACTCTGTGTACACGTAATCAAGCATTGCAAATCCCCTTTTTGGCATGCGGAAGGCAGGGAATTTTTCTTCTCAATACACGTTTTGACGATTTTGCAGCGACATGTGCGGGGATCGGAACGCTATTTCCGCCAGCCGGAATGATCTGTAGTGCGACACCCGAATCAAAAACAGCATCTGAACTCGCCGAACTATCAGCGAAATATATCGAAGCAGAAAATACTCCAGCACACGCAGCGAAGATGAACCACAGTGGGGCCAGTCAGAGGCGCTTCGTCCCTCAACACGGACGGAGCTCCTCCAAGACCGCCCCGGCGGTTCGTTAATCTTGCATGAGACACTGGCGGCACGGGAACTTGAATGCAGCGGTGTTTCCGTGCCCCATGCTGCAGCTGTGACTCGTGGAGGCTTTTTGGTTTCATAACTTTTGAAAACCCCGTCGCAGCAGCACTTCATTTTCGGCTCCAGATATGACGGCGAAAAACCAAAGTAAAGCCGGCGGCGGTGAAATGCGTTGCGCCATACTGTAAGATTGAGCGATTCTTCGCAGACTTTCTAAGCGTCTTTAGTCCGGTTTTGCTTTGGTTTGCAGCCCATAATCAGAAATGGCGCACGAGCTTTTCTTCAAGACCAGGACGCTGAAAGAAACATTGGAAAAGCTGGCCAGTGCAGAGAAGCGCCTAAAAAAACTTTCGGATAAGGCGACTACAACGTACGCAAACACTTATAATTTTGTCGAATGTTCAGTGGCAATCCATGGCAACACAGAAAGTAGAGTACCCAGGCTCCATTTCGCGTTCACATACGCATCGTGACAAATTTTATTACAGATACTTACAGATTGAACGAATAAAAAACTCAATAAAACAGCTCTGCGGGGGACCCCAACAAGCCAGCGGTACTCTTCCTTCTGCAGACGCACTTACATGGTCGGTTCTGCTTTTGAACACCTGCAAGCTATCATGCAGATATGGTTTCTCTGCTGCGTACTAAAGTAGCGGACATTGCAGAAAAGTTTCTGTCTGGAGTAGGCTGTTTGCATGAGCCGCAGTTTTATCGATATGGATTACGGATTATCAGATTTATGTTTTTGGCATGCAAGTAGATCCCCTAGCCCTAGGCACCTAGTTACAACATGCATATCCGTGAAAGGTATCGGACGGGCGCGAAGAGGCCCTACTGCTTCAGGGGGAAGAAATCAAACGGCTGCGGCAGACACAAGACGCGCTGTCGCGCGAACTGTACAACGAGAACATGCTGAAATACACCATGCAAGACCAGGCACGCGCCGACCGGTGGAGAAAGGTGATGCACAAAGAAGGCAAGCTGACAGAGAATGAAATCGAACAGAGGGTGGCGCATTGGTTAAGGTAAGGCGATGGACAATATTTGTTCGCATCTAATAGACCCTATATTAGTTTTTGGCATGGACCGCCCGCACGGCTGTGGCATTTCTATTTCATTTTTACCGTCCGTCTATCGCCGCCACGCCGGGTTTTTGTATTTTTCAGTGCCGAATGCAAATCACGAAAAGCGGCTAGATGCGAACACGGTTTTCCTTACCATGTCGAACTCTTGCAGCCATCCTCGCGTGGACGCGCCAAACACTTCATTTTTGCAAAGTAAACACCAAGTGTGGTGCCAAGATATCTAATTGTGCACGATGAGGTGCTTGCTTCTTGTTTTTGCATCAAGCTGTAATTCCCAAAACACCTACGTTTTATGTGGATGTAGACGAAAAATTTATCCCGGAGTAACGATGTACCTTGGCAGCAACGGCAGGAGGTTTGAAAGGTCCATACCCTGGAAGCCCTCCAGAAGTCTTTCGCCTGGAACCAGTATCACCAGTGGGACTCCGAGATGCAAGCGCAGTTCGTTGCCGAGACGCAGCAAACCTCCAGCGCTGTTTCGGGCGGTAGCAATGCTGGAGACGGGAATGGCGCCACCAGCGGAAGTGAAGCAGGAGGACAGCATGTTTTCGCTTATGATACAAAAAATGCTCTCGCGCGCAAGCGGGACTGGTACAAATGAGTCACTCACTCCTTTATTTCCCCTGCGACATCTTCAGACTCTTTGCACCTCATGTCGCGTCTCTAAGCATCATCTGTAGCAGTGGAACTGTGCGCCAGAGCATTTTTCCGAATCACACCCTCGCGACCATCAGCCGAGACCCGGTGCTCGCGAAGCAAGCCCTCATCCAACAGGCGGGCGAGTATCAAATGCAAAAATGTCTGGGTCTGGAAGAGCGCCACACTTGTCGTGCAGGTTTTCCATGACTAATGAGGTCTGGTATGTAGGACATAGCATGAGAAATTCTGCGAGACCTCTCTAATACCTATCCTGCATGAGAAACTGCGTCTCGATTAGGTGAAAAAAGGGCAGCTTTTGGTAATCATGCAACACAGATTTTTACATTTTTCAGATTTAGCATGACAAGTTGCATCCTTCCAGACCCAGACATTTTTGCATTTCATAGCGAGATCGAGAAGTTGAAGTCGGAGAAAATCGCGTTGGCTATCAAGTGAAAATATGTCCTGCGGTGGAAACTTGTGATGCTAAAGTGTGGACGATGCAAGCACTTCTGGATGGAGCCAAGCATAACAACTATCCAGAACGCTTTCCTAAGTGCAGCCCGCATGACAAACTGCGTTTTTGTATGAGAAAAGAGGCTGCGGCTTTTGGCGGTCATACAATACAAATTTCACAGGCATGTCAGATCAGCATTACAACTTCGAACGTTCCAGACCCGGACATATTTGCAATGCATATGGGCCAAAGAGCTGCAACAGCGGGTCACAGTAGCCCGGTACAAGGAATTGTGTCTATCCGAAGCACACCCGGACCTGAAGCAGGAACTGGATATAAGCACTGTAAATTAGGATGCTTAAAGTGCGGAAAATTGTGCCGAACTTGTCATGTTAAGTATCCTACAGTACATGACAAGTCAGTCCACCATATGTCATGAGGATAAGCGTGGTTTTCGAATCCCAGCATCACATCTTTCCGCACCGAAGCATGCTGTTTTCCAAACCATAAGAGAAACACCGCAACGATTTTTCCAAGGGGGCGAACCACTGTGTGACCAAGCACTTCGAGGCGGCGTCGGTGTACGCCAAAAACGTCACCGGTTTTTTCCAGCACACGAACGGTGGTTGCAACTCTATCAAGTGCAAAAATGTCCGGGTCTGGAGGAATGTAACTTGTGATGCTGCGTTTGGAATCCAAAAACATCTGTATTACATGAGCAGCAAAGGGAAGGCAACCCTTGCTACGCGGAGAGGGTATCTGTCATGCGCAATAGGCATCAAGAGGGCCTCAAAAAATCTGTGATGCTAGGGCATGCATCACAGACATCATGGCTCATGCAAAATGTGCATGACAAACTCCCCAAATCTTCCAGACCCAGACATATTTGCATTTGATAAACCCCTTCGAGGAGCAACAGTCGGACGCCGGTAGAGGAGAGACGGGAACTACCCAGCCCCCGCGGTCCGCTGCACCCCGGACGGGCGAAGCAACAGCTAGTAACGCAGGCACGCACAACTCGCTGCCGACGACCGTCTCACCCGTGCCGGCAGCAGGTACTACGCCCGCATCAAGTAGCAGCAGCAGTTCTGCCGCACCGCGAACCCTGTTACCGCCGGACACGCAAGTACGTGCCGGGGGCGCGGCAAGCTCGAGCAGTGTCGTTCCCAGAACGGCGATGGACGCCGGAGAACCATGCAACAACCCCTCCACCCAGGACTCCCTAGTAGCAACTCGCAGACAGCAATCATCTTCCCCGACGCAGGGCGCACCGCTCCGGAAGCGACGGCATACGGTCACCGGATATCGGAGGTAACAGAAAATGCTGGTTCATTACTGTGGTAGATTGTAATGCGCAGAGCGGCGTGTATGACTGACTTTTGCATGCCCTGTTCGAGTTAGCATCAAAATCATCTCAGCATTACAAACTAACATTTGCGATGAAGCGGCAACGATGCTTTTCCATGTCACAGTAGATAACGATGGCGGAAAGAAGGACGGACGGTGAAGGGAGGACGCAGTGGCGCAAAAGCAAAACCGTGTCTCATTCGATGTCAAATACATAGTAACAGTACAAAATCAGTAGTCAGTTCCAGTGTTTCAAGTTATGATTTTTTTGCTATAAATTTTACATCGCAATATAGCATTACTAACTCACGATGCGTCTTACCAGTTGGTGCACAGATAAATAAAGTATGATCTCAACAAACAGGCAAAATTTATATCTCCACGTATCCGTTTCGACAATGCAGTATAGCGACAGCACGGATGTTATTTTCTCGTTTCTTCAGGGCTAGTTACTGATAATTTACAGTTTGACGAAACTCAAGCGAGGCGTTTTTAGCGAAAAAAGCCATCAATCAGAATGGATACTACAAATCCACCAGCCAATGGTAGACATTTAGCATGAGCAAGGACTACATTGATGCAGGCGAGACTTCCAGAGGAGAAAATTCGCCGACAAAAAAGAAAATGACAATATCCAGAATGGTCACACGCATAGGGCTATCACATGAAAGATCCTTTTAGATGCAGAAACGAAACTGTATACTTCCATCGACGAAAAAAATCATTTCTAGAAAATTCAAGTCCTTTTGCTCCTTCACAGGTGTGCTTACGACAGCACAAAACTGCCATTCTACTCACGCCAGTTCTTGGAAGTAGTTGCATCTCAGGGCGTTCTGCAGCAGGATGTGCGCGCTGTCTCGTATTAATTTCTGAGCAGCCGTAGTTGCGGTCAGAGTCGCGTTTTTTTTTTTTTTTAAACAAGAGTGGTATAACGATCACGAGAGACGTCAGAGTGAGCGCGATTGCCATGATAAATACACCTATATTAGCCCGCTCGCACATACAATGAGCCGACTCTGCTCGCGTTGATGCCACGAAAAGGGCCAGGATGGGGTTGAAGCGCTCCACCCGTACGTCGTTGCATTTCGTTTCTTGCTTCTCAGGAGCTGCGCCAGCTATGTTTTGCTTCTCGCGGGAATCGTAGAGGACGTAGACCTTGCGCACACGCGGACCGGGGTGCGCTACGAAGGATGGAGGATCCGCGGAACGCGAGAGTACCCCCTGCCGAAAATGCACAGGTTGCAGGCTCGCAGCCGACCGCATCTGGCGGCGCAGCGTCTCACGGAGGGGGGCCGGCGCCGAAGAGTGGTAATACCACAAACCAGTACAGCCAGGGCATGCAGCTAGCAAGCAACGAGCAGGGGGACCCGCAGGAAACCGGCGTGCAATTGGGAATGATCCCACACATGACAAGCAGTTCCTCGGAGGTCGTCCTGCGGCAAACCAATAGGACGCAGCTCAACGAAATGGAGCCGTCCAGTTACCAGCAGACTGGAGGATCCCAGCCAAGCAACCTGCAGTTCGGCGGGGCGCAGTCCAGTTACCAGCAGACTGGAGGATCCCAGCCAAGCAACCTGCAGTTCGGCGGGGCGCAGTCCAGTTACCAGCAGACTGGAGGATCCCAGCCAAGCAACCTGCAGTTCGGCGGGGCACAGTCTAGTTACCAGCAAACTGCGGGTTCCCAGCCGAGCAACCTGCAGCTTGGTGGGGCGCAGTCTAGTTACCAGCAGACTGGAGGATCCCAGCCGAGCAACCTGCAGCTCGGCACAGCACAGTCTAGTCACCAGCAGACTGGCGGATCTCAGCCAAACAACCTTCAGTTTGGCGGAGCACAGTTTAGTTACCAGGAGACTGGAGGATCCCAGCCAAGCAACCTCCAGTTTGGCAGCGCACAGTCTAGTTACCAGCAAACTGCGGGGTCCCAGCCGAGCAACCTGCAGCTTGGTGGGGCGCAGTCTAGTTACCAACAAACTGCGGGTTTCCAGCCAAGCCACTTTCACTTTGGCGGAGCACAGTCTAGCACCCTGCACACCGCGGGATCCCAGCCAAGCACACTTCAGTTCGGCGGAGCACAGCCTAGCAACCTGCACAGTGCAGGATCCCAGTCAAGCAACCTCAACTCGGCGCAATCAAGCAGCCTGCACTACACAGGTATACCCGCCCAGTCGAGCAACGCACAATTAAACGGCAGCCTGCAGAGCAGCGGTGTGCAAATGGATGTCGTGCAGCAGCAGACAAATCTGCAGGTCAACGGCTCGCAACCAAGCAATTTGCAATCAACGCTGCTGAACCCAGCTAGCCCACCGGAGCTTCTCGGCCAGCATGCCGTGCCGAACACGGAACCAGCTGCGCATCAACAACCCGCACCACTTCATCTCCCGAACCCCGCGAACGCACCGCAGGTGGCTGGTCCGCCGGGAGTATCAAGTGTAAAAATGTCTGGGTCTGGAAGATTCCGGAATTTGTGATGCATCTTTCGTATGATCCGCGACGCATGTAATGCATGATCTAGCATCACAGATTTTTAGAGGGCTTGCTGATGCCTATTCCGCATGAGAAATGCCCTCTCCACGTAACACAAACTGGAGTCCTGTTGCTGGTCACGTAATACAGATTTTTTTGGAATCCGAAGACAGCATGACAAGTTGCAATCTTCCAGACCCAGACACTTTTGCAATCCATAGGGAGACGGAGGAAGCTCGTCGCCAGGAACGGCAAGCGCGTCCATGTATCACCCGCAAATATGTCTGGGTCTGGAACGATGCAAGGTTTGTCATGCAGGGCTAGCATGTCTCCCAAGTCTGTCATGCACGTTAGTACCCAAAAGTCACGTTTCTCTGTTACGCAGAAACGCAGTTTATTGTCATGCAAGATAGGCAACACTTAGTAGCCCAAAAATTTGTCATGCTTGGCTGTCAATGGAGGCGTCGCGTGGTTCGCCACATAGCATCACAAGCTTCCAGACCCAGACGTCTTTGCAATTGATACTATGCGGTCGGGCACAACGATCTCGTATACAGCCTCGTCCCTGCGTCACACGACTCCGCACCTGAGGGAGGAGCGGAACTTCGCGATAGAGGATCTTCGCTACGTTATTGAAATGACAAAACCCTGCACGCCTCCAGTCGGAAAGAATAAATACATAAGAGTTGAGGGACTTGCTCATGCCCTGAGTCAACGCTCCGTCAAGCGGTCAAGGATCTCCAGGCGCCGGCAGATTCGTGTTATTCCCAAAAGCCTTACATGCTTGCGGAAGAAACACAGTGGCGCACGATGCAAATCCAGCAATCGAAGTAAGTATTCTTTCACACATGGCATGAGGATTTTTTATTTCAATATTTGCAAAGCGGCAGCTGGACCAAGCCAGGCGCGTGAAGGCGTTAGCAATTCAACAGAGGGACCACTACAAACAGCAGGCGGACCATATCTATGGCGCTGAGAGCACTGGATGCCCCAACCCAGAAAGAAGCTGTTGCTTGAATTCTTGTAAAGCCTCGTATCATGCACACATGGAAAACAGCATAAAGGATAAAAAAATTTTGTGCATAGTCATGTCGCAAAATACTTGCGAATCAAACGCGCCATAAGTATTCCTTGTAGGCAAACTTTTTCCATTTTCTAGCGGATCTTTACAACAACCGTATGGCTTCAAGTGTTGTAAAAGCAGAAGTACTCCTTCTGGAGTTGTCGCTACTAGTTTTGGCTGAATAACGCGAAAGACGAAAACTAAAACCTGTGAAGTGAAGACGAAAGCACCTGTCGTGTAACGAGCCCATCGCGCCATTGCTTCCACTATAGTCGTGATCAGACTATAGCCGCTGAACTTCTTTCGATTGCAGTGTGGCGAATGTTGTCAAAAAGCGTTTGCGTCGCTGCTCTGCAGCGTAAACTCGAACTGAGTATAGACAGCAGGTGCAGGCTCTATGCATTGCAAATATGTCTGGGTTTGGAAAGGTGCAGAAAAGTGATGCTCCTTTCCAGGCACACAAAAATCTGTCATGCATGAGTGGCAAAAGCTTCCGCTTTCGGCGAAGCTGAGAAAGAATTTCTCGTGCTGAGTAGGCGTTGCAAGGCTCTCATACAGCCTGTGAGGATGCTAAACTCTGCAATCCAGACCTCGTGAGGCATACGAGACCTGCATGACAATGTCTGTACTTCCTCGGATGCAGACATGCTTGCACTGAACAGGTTTGCAGTTCATACAATGCCTAAATAAGCATCAGCGCGATGTATATTCCCGCGTTGCCAGCCTCGAAACGGAGCTCCAAAGCGCCCGAGTTCTAGCAGAATTCTACAAAAGCAGGTTAGATTTCTACAAAATGAACGACGCAAGGGACGAGGAAAGTAGAAACCTGGAAGAACAAATCCGCAACGAGCAGGGGAAGTGCTGGGGCCTTCGCCACAAGCTTCGGGATGCAGAATCCGAGCTAAGGAGGAAGGAGACGGAACTGCAGCTCGCTGAAACCCGCTGGAATTCCCTAAAGCCCAGCGTCGCAAAGCTGCTGGAATCGGCCGAAAACCACGAGAAAAGGGCCCTGAACAACTACCGCGAATACGATTGCTTCAACAAAGCCGACTGCGATCACTGGTGCAAGACGTTTGTGTTGTCGCGCGACTCCTTCGCGCGCGACATTTCCGTCCTGCAAGCTTTCATCGCCAAGACCGTGCCACGTGAAGCAATCCCCGAAGACGTTGCTGCCATCGTGAACGAGCTGGCCGACTCCTCCGACTACTGCTGGCCGGATCAGGACACCCTTGTGATCAGCAACCGGGACAACACGCCGTATGACCCGGACAAGAGGAACACCTGGCCTGCAACGGATTTAGCAGATAAAGAACGCGTCAGCGGTACCATCACCTCCCTTCCGGACGCGATTGACATCATCTCCCAACTTGCAATCACCTGCTCGCATCGCATGCAGGAAGCAACCATGTACAAGGCCGAGCTGGAGCAAATGTGGGCAAAAACGTCCTCCGACGACACTGCCTTCGACCAGGTAGACAGCAAACGGAGCGGTAGTAGCCTGCCGCGCAGTGCAGACCAGCGGACGCAGATGTTGGATACGCGAATTGCGGAGCTCCAAAAGCAACTGCAACAGAAAGGCGCAAAGCTGGCTGAGACCGACTCGAACCTGAACAATCTAGTGGAGCGCACGCGACGATTCTTTGCCCGGGAGGAGAACAGACTATCCGAGGAAAAAACAAAAGAGCTCGAGGAGGATTTGGACAAGATGCGCAGCCGGGCACTGGAGCGGTGGGATAACAATGCGTCCCGCCTGCAGGCGGCGGTGGAACGAGCACAGCGACAGCTTCATCAACAACACTGCTCAGCGGCGGTGGACAACACTGCTCTTCAGCAGGCCGCGCAGCAGTCGGACGGCCCCACCTACATCGACTCGGCACTAGAAGCCGTCCGCGACATGCGACCACTAGTGGAAACACTGTCCCAGCCTGCAGCCCTTGCAGATGCGCACAACAAAATGAAAAACGGGAAAGATGAAGTAGCCGATCTCCGAAATCTCGTGGAGGAACTGCATTGCGCGCGCATCAGGAATCAAAATGAAGAGGAGGTCGCACGACAGGAGGCCAAGCTCCAAGAAATTATATCCTCGGGAGGCATCGATCAGCCTTCACCTAGCGCAGCAAAATTCGATACGGGCGATGCGTCAGAGTGCCACTGCATGTCAAAAGAGTACGTCTGCATGGCTGGGTGAAGCTGTTTGTAGTGCGCGCACCTAGAAGAGGTCGGCCAGCTGGGCTAACAGCTAAGTAGCCTGCTAAGCTCTCGGCCTCTCTTGTTCTTTTGGCGCCAGGAACTTGCAAACAGCTTCACAAGGTTCGAGCTAAATTTGTCCTCGTTTTTGGGTGAAGGCGCCTTTCCTTGCAATGACGCCTGTCGACCAACTACCCCGCAACCATATCCTACAGAACAGCACACACATACAAGAAAAGTTGATTTCTTGTGTCGCTGTGTTTCTTATAGCACAAGAAACGTCGCCATGCTGATTCTCAAGAAGAAGAAAAACCTGTCATACAGCAAAATGAAGATTGAAATGAGGTCGTCGTGGGAGTACGTTTGTGATGCTGCTCAGCAGGACGTTTTTGTAGCTCGTCATTTCTTGGAGGACTTTATCCTTTTGGACGCTTTAGTATCTACTCCTTGACGAACTGCATCACAAACGCTTTCTGATATGGTATGGGTGTGCTGTTCTGGAGGGTAAGCCATCGGGGCCGCACAAAGGGTTGACAACGTCATCGACGCGATCGGAGGTGTGGGTATCCTACAGAAGAGTACGCACATACCATGGTCAAAAAGCATTTGTCTTGAAAGGAGAACCTCTTTGTCTGCCGAACAACACAACCTTTCCTTCCTGATTTTTCCTGTTCCGCATTACAGATTACGTCTTCCATGCCAGAAAGTGACCCATCTTCTGCTCGCCGCATCACGGCCTTGTCACTGGTGCTGGCAGAGGAGCAACAAAACTGATTGCTTTTTTTTTGTGCTGTGTGTGTGCTTTTGTTCGCAATAATGGGGCAGTTCCGATATGATTGAAAAGTTGCTCCACATCCAACAGAAGACCAAAGTAGTGTTCTGCTGCGAAAAGCCAGGCATAAGGGGTAACATTTCTCCTTCGGCATGAGTTTGTTCCCTACCACGCAGAAGACTGCGCGCTCTCTTGCGAAGATGACGGGCAACTTTTTCCAAAGTGATACCACCGTAGTGAACACCAGTCTGTACGACCCCACCGTCGGCGCAGCTACTCGGTCCCTGCGAGAGCTCGCCCCCGCAACTAATCCAATCGCTGCTAAGCTTGCGTCGCAGGTGGAGGACCTCGCCCGGGAAGTGTGGTTTAAAACTAGGCTTCTGCGCGAACGCGACCAAAAGTCCCCCGGCTCGGCGGCCATCAATCCAGGCATCAGCAGTGGTGTTTCTACTCCCGCCGCGGCCTCGGATCGGATGACGAAAGACGAGCTTCTGCAGCGGCAGGCGACGCAGCTCGCGCAGGTGCGGTTCGAGCGCGATCTCTACCGCACCGCCCTTCGCAGGTGCTACGTCGACCAGGGGTTGCAGTACTTCGACGTATGGAGACGAATACACTCCTGTGCCGGGAGAAATCAGTTTGACAGGCTGCTCGCTGATGTTGATGTTTGTTTGCATGTATACTCAGAATACTACGCAGGGGATGCATGCATGATCGCAAAACCCTTAACCTGAGTCAGTGCCTTTGCTCCGTCACAGGAGGTATTCGTGGTCTATAGACGTCCGGCGACATGTATGAGTTCTATGACGAGGAAGCCAACGCACGAAGCCGATCCGTTCGCCTGCTCCACAGGATCCGGGCGGTCACCAAGCATGCTGACAAGCTCATGGACCAACTATCGCATGCAAATATGTCTGGGTCTGGAAAAGTGGAACTTCGGTTGAATGTTTGGGAAGATGCAGTGTGTCATGCAAAGACTAAGTTTGTCATGCGTGCGACACATCAGACGCCGCCAAACGAACCTGTCATGCTTGGCTGCACTCGAGAACACCAGACTCATCCATACTATCGCATCACAAATTTCCAGACCTTGCCATATTCGCAATGCATACCCATTGCACAATAACTACGTCTTCCAGCAGCAGCTCCTGTGGAACGAGGCCCTGGAGGCTGAATTTCGTGCGGATCGGAAGGGCCCACAAAAAAACAACCTACCGGCCCTTAACCGTGCGGCGGAAGAACCTGCTAAGGCCTCGACAGGACTTTCGGAGAGCAGGTATAGAAAAGACTAGACATTGTAAGACTATGTCGAACAGCAAATAGTTTGCATTCGTGTTGCTGTTCACAAATGTTCTTGACTATGGTCCTTGGCAAGACTCGTTGAGGTTGTTTATTTATCGTGCAAAAAAACAAAATTGTTCCAATGGCAAAACAGCACTCCTGCGGGGCGCCACTATAGCGCCACCGAGTTGTCCCAGCAGCTGGTCGCTGTGTCCAACAGTGCTCTTCTGGCACGGGAAACGATCCTGAAGCAACAGCTCCATATCAAAAAGCTCCTAGCCGACCAGGACGTTCTCAAAGTTGAGCTCAAGCAACAAGTACGCACTGCAAAAATGTCTGGGTCTGGAAAGATGCGAGGTTGTTTTATGCAGACCCTGGATTACGCAAAAATTTATGTTGCATGAACGCCAAAAGTTGTCGCATTTTTTCTACGCCGCAAGTGCCGACTTTCTCATGCAGGATAGGCATCAAGACACCTGGACAAAAGGTGAAATGCTTTTTCGCGCATAGCTGAGCATCTGCATGGTCCAAAAGATGCATGACAAACTTGCGCAGTCTTGTTCCACACCCAAACAACATATTTACAATGCATAAGAAGCCGGAGCAAGCAAGTACCTGCGACTCTCCATCGCCAAGACGAAACCCGAGCTGAAGGAGGAAGTGATATCAAATGCAAACATGTCTGGGTCTGGAAGACTGCAGATTTTTGTCATGCTGTTTTTGCATGATACACAAGGTCTGTCATGGAAGCCCTAGCATCACAGCTTTCGAAAACGTTCCGCAATGCTTAATCCGCATACCAAATCCTCCTTTTTGGTGACAGGAAATTGGCACCCTTTGCTGCCTATGCATGAGACATTTGCCTGTGTAATTCGCATCACAAGTTCGGATCCTTCCAGACCCAGACATATTTGCATTGGAAAGGTCACGAAGCTTTACCATTCGTTTCTGAAGCAGGACTGGACCTTCCTCGAAGAGCTACCCGCGGATATGGACCAGGACCTAGTCGGCTCTGCGAGGTCGTACGCGTCGCAATACCGCATCGAAGAATCTATCCACGCCATAGTACAACAAGGCTGCTAGAATGTTGCGTCCTTTTACCTGCATGTTGCAGTGCAACAAGGCTCGTGGGAAATAATCTGATGGACCCCAACGAACATTTTGTCACGCGGCGAGCATGATAACAGGCAGCAGTAGCCGGCTTTTGTACAACAGCTCACAGTGCAATTGTGACAAAAGGTCGATTGAACGCAGAGCTAGCAAAAACCAAACAATGGCGTGCATAGATATTTTGCAACGGAATACGTACTACACTTTTCTCGTCGCGTACGGAGCCCGCTTCTTCATGGACCCACGTTTCGTCGAGATTGCCGATCGCAGCGAGCAGACGTTTATTCACCAACCTTTGGACACTACGACCTCCAAAACCGAGATAAATGCGTCGACTTCTTCTTCTGCACCAAAAGTCCGACAACACATGCCGCAGCTGTACGACCCTACCCTCGCTGCCGAAATCTTTCAAAAGCAGGCGGAGCAGATCAAAAAACTCGAGCAGGAAAAGGACGCCCGGAAGGCCATCGCTGGTCGCAGGACAGCGGAGGGACTGAATAATAACTCCAGAAACTACGAACCTACAGGAGGACTCGCCGGCGAGTTGACAGCTGCCGGTTTCTCCTCCTCGTCCGGTGCCCCAAGTAGCAGCTCGGCGAAACAGGTGTCGGTGCCAGAATCTCTGTTGCCGCGGGTGGAAAGGAGTGATACTACGGGAGCGGCGGCGAGTTCGAGCAGTGTTAGTGGGAAGGAGGTAGTGGAAAACAACAGCAGTGCAACGCCTGCGACGTCGCAAGGGCTATGGATTGCAAAAATGCCTGGGTCTGAAACTTGTAATGCTGTCTCTGGATTCTAAAAAAGTTTGTATTGCATGACCAGCAAGAGGACTCCAGTTTGTGCTACACTTCTCTCTGGGCATTTCTCATGCGGTAGAGGCATCACAAAGGCCTCTAAAAATCTGTGATGCTAGGATCATGCATCATAGACGGCGTTGGTCATTCAAACTATGCATGACAAACTTGCCATTTTGCATTGGATAAGGGCCAACCACGAACAACTTATCCGACAGGAAAGTGCAGCCAGATCAAAAGAAATAATGAATTTGTCTTGCTATTTTTCTGGAACAAAGGACGAGTCATTTGTGATGCTGATCATCTGCAAGACAGACGAGAACTTGTCACGCAAAACGAACATTGTAATGCAACATTGGGATGAAACAAGGTTGGCAAGAAAATTTGTGATGCTCAACAGGCAGGAAAGAGCTTTTTGTGGCACAACAAAAAAAGCATGGGAAATGGTATTTTAGAATTTCATCTGGGTGCACTTTTCTCTCGGATACAGTTCCTCCGCTAGTACTACTAGCACTGCTGCAGTATTGAACCGCAGAAAACAGTCGTCCTCGCCGACCGAAGGCGCACCGGTGCGGAAGCGGCGGCACACGATTACAGGCTACCGCAAGTGACGCAAAATTCTTCCTCATTACAACCATGTCAGTGTGTAATGCATAGGATTGTGCGGAAGTGCATGATGGGTGACTGCGGATTTTTCTCGATCTTGGAAAAGAGATGAGGCGTATAGCATTGTTCAAACTGACATGTGCTGCAATGACGAAAATTTTCCATTTCATAGTACATAATTTCTTGCGGCAAGAAGGACGGACGGTGCAAGGAGGACACAGTGGTGGAAAATTGTAAATCTCATGTGATGTAAAGTAAGTACAAGTAAAACAATACAATTTTAGTAAGTACACAGTTCCAGTATATGCAAAGTATCACTTTATCAGTTCTTGCTGCACAGGTGAAATAAAGTATGATTTCGAACTGACAAAATTTCAGATCAACAGCGGTTTAGTTGCAAGATTTCTAACCAAGTGCTCTCGATCTTTCTTTTGGCACCAAGAACTACTGACAAGTTACCGTTTGATGAAACTCAAGTATAAGTGTTTCGTAGTAAAAGCAAAAGTGAACCCCAGCGAAAAACAAAGGTGAATTATCAGAAGCAATTTTTGATTACAAAGAGGAAACAAAACAATCGAATAGTAATGATTAGTGTCAGAATACCGGGTCAAAAAAATAAAGCACTGAGCGTTTATGCGGAAGTAAAACGATAGGAAAAAAAGATAAACAAGACGATCACAAGCAGAAAATGTAGTGGTGGTTTCAAGATTGATATTGCAGGAGAACCGGATGTACCGACAAGCGACACAAGCTGTCTCGTTTGTAGCATTAGCAAGCCGAAACTGTACAAACAGCCTACACTTCTAAAGCGAAAATTCGATATTGTAGAAAGCAAAAGCGCTTTGACAACCGCAAAGTGACTGCTCGATTTAGCGATGGTTTTTTTGGTTGTTCAACATGTGAAGGTATCATTGTGAGGATATTTGTTCCACTCTATGCTATGTGTTGTTTTTTGAGTTGCGTTGGAGTTGCGTCCCAAAAGTCGTCTTGCGTTGGAGCTGCTTCTTGTCGCACAGTCTTGTGGCACAGTCTTGTGGCACGACATCAGTTGTGGCTGCCATAATTGAGTTGGAAATTCTTGTAAATGCTATTCTCTTCCCAATCCGTCGTGACTAGGGTGCGTTCGAAATGCCAAAGCTGCATTTCGGCTGCCAGGACTCCATATGTCGATGAATTGGGGTCCTGATAAAACCTGAGAGTTCTGGTTAAATTGCAAAATTATAAACCAAGATGGACCTTGTCCACGTCGGTCAACAAACCGTTCTTTGCTGCTTCCTCCCCGCTTTCACAACCTGGTAGACGACAACTCCTAAGACGGCTGCGAGCAGACGAATCACCTGAGCGCGGCGAGGACCATTTTTGCGCTCTTCTGCAATACAGTGGAGAAGTTATTTGGCGCGCCTGCGGACACGAATTGCGCAGCGGCAGCGAAAATGCAGGACCGCACAAACGGCTCTGCCTGCTGTCGATCCACCTCCTGAAGAACTACACGTGCAATTGCAATTTCGCAAGACAAGTTACGGCGGATCCACTGTCCCTGTCCGTGAAAAATGACAGAGATCAGCGTCAAAGTCGCGGTCCGGGTTCGGCCGTGGAATGACCGTGAGAAACTATCAAATGCAAGTATGTCTGGGATTGGAAGTTTGCTACATTTGTCATGCATGTCTAACATGAATCAACAATCTGTGATGCATGGGCACCAAAAAGCCCTCTTATCTGTCATGCAAAATCGCAGTTTGTCATGCGTAATACGCAACACCTAGCAGCCCAAAAATTTCTCATGTTTGGCTGCGGATTGCAGGTGTGCGCCTACTGATTCACTTTTAGCATCACAACTCTCCAGACGAAGACATACTTGCTTTGCATAGAAGCAGATGCAGTGTAAACTCGCGGTGGAGATGCCGCCGACGTCGGGAAACGAATATCAGAGGGCACATGTCTCCCTTCCCCTCATTCGTAGTGCAAAAAGGCCAAATCCTGTCGGAACTCTTTGGCTGTGCTTGCATGACAAGTTCTGGAAGCTGCCGCCCAAACTGCACTTTGCTCCGTGCGTGCGTTTGTAATGCTCAGACTGCATTTTTGAGGTGGTTTGTGATGCTACAAATGCATCCTTCCAAATTACGGGGAGGGGGACGAGTTGTGTACTCGCATCACGAACTCCCGAATACCACCGTTCTGAAAGACCTGGACGACACGGGAGCGGAAAAACAATTCACGTTCGACTACTCGTTCTGGTCGCACGATGGTTTCGTGGAGGATGAGAAAACCGGGCTCACGGTGCCGGATGTTGCCAGTGTGGCCGCCGGCGGGGGCGGCGGCAAGAAAGGCAACAGCAAGCCGGTATACGCGAGCCAGCAGACGGTTTACGACAAGCTCGGCGTCACGGTGCTCAATAACGCGTGGGAGGGCTACCACTGTTGTCTATTCGCGTATGGACAGACCGGCGCTGGGAAGTCGTACTCCATGGTCGGGTACGGGGCGAACAAGGGCATCGTGCCGCTGGCGTGTGACGAAATCTTCCAGCGCATTGACAAAAACAAGGACAAGAACCTCGAGTACGACGTGGTCGTGTCCATGTTGGAAATCTACAACGAGAAGGTGCAGGACCTGCTGATTCACCCCAACAAGCGGCCGGTTGGAGGTCTGGAAATCCGCGAGTCGAAGGAGCTGGGCGTGTACGTGGCAAACCTGACCAAGTGCAAGGTGACCAGCTACAAGGAGATCGACCAGATCATGGAGCAGGGAATCGGGAATCGCACCATTGGCAGCACGCTGATGAACGCCACCAGCTCGCGGGCCCACACGGTGCTCGGCATCGAGTTGAAGCAGCTCTCACACGTCGGCGACCGCGTCGGGACGAAGTATCCTGAGGAAAAACGTCCCTACCCCAGAGTTTTCATGCAGATTTGCAATGACAAGGAAATTTCTGATGCGCACACCCATGGTAGACATTTCCATTCGTGTTTTGGAATTTGTGATGCTATGAACAGGATACCCAGATGAATCTCTGATGCAGCTGCACTTGCTTAAGTACCTGCACTATGCTACGGAGTGCATTTTGTCATGCGTGACTCCCAGAACTCCTAGGTTTGTGTTGCAACATCCCCATCTTGACTCTGGTGTGGGGACGTTTTCACTCAGGATACGAAGATGTCCGTCATCTACCTGGTGGACTTGGCTGGCAGCGAGAAGGCCGCGAAGACGGGCGCGACGGGAGACCGGCTGAAGGAGGGCATATCAAATGCAAAAATGTCTGGGTCGGGCAGATTGCGAGATATGTCATGCTATAATCTGGCATGATTCTGAACTCTGTATTGCGTGGCCGCACAGAGCTCCTCCTCCCTGCCATGCTAAAATGCAGCTTCTCATGCGGAATACGCAACTCAGAACCATGAACATAAACTTGTCATGCTTGGCGGCGCATTAAAGTGAGCTCACTATTCCCTTCCTTGCATCACAAGTTTCCCGACCCAGACATTTTTGCACTTGATAGGGCAGCGCGATCAACAAAAGCCTGTCCTGCCTGGGAAACGTGATCGAGAAACTGGCGGACGCGTGCAGTGGCTATGATTTGTAAAAACGTCCCCACACCATAGTTGTCATGCTAGTCTGCATGCCAAAAAAGTTTGTCATGTTGAGCGCCATGAGAGGCATTTTCTAGTAGTGTTTTGGAATTTGTGACGCTATAATCAGAATGATATACTAGATCTGTGATGCTGCTGAACTACGTAAATAGGATTACACTACGAGGAGACACTTGTCATGCCAAACGACCAAAGCTGGCTGATTTGTCTAGCAGATTTCCCATCTTGACTCTGGTGTGGGGACGTTTTTACAAATGATAGTGGCAAGGTCGCTCTGAAAAACATCGTGATTCCCTACCGGGACAGCAAGCTGACCCGGCTGCTGCAGAACGCGCTGGGAGGCAGCTCCTTCACCGTCATGATCTGTGCGATTTCGCCCGCGAGTAACAATTACCAGGAGTCGCTGTCCACGCTGCGGTACGCAGACCGCGCGAAAAAGATCAAAAACCAGTCCGTGGTCAACGAGGACCCGCAAGACAAGATCATTCGGCAGCTGCGCGAGGAAAACGCCAAACTCCGGGAAATGGTGGAGCAAGGGGGTGGCGTGCAGGTGGAAACGAAAACCGTCGAAAAGCTGGTGGTGGACGAAGCGGCCATGGGCAAGGCAAAGGAGAAACACGAGAAGGAGATCAAGGCGCTGGAGGACGCGCTGATCCAGATGCAGCAGGATTTCTTCAAAAAGTTGCAGGAGGAGAAGAACAAAAAGAAGGTCGAAACGGTGGTGGAGGAAAAAGAGATCGTCACCGTGAAGGAAATATCCTGAGTAAAAACGTCCCCGCCCCAGAGTTGTCATGCAGACTTGCAATGCCAGGAACATTTGTGATGCGCATCCCCATGATAAGTAGGCATTTACAAGCGTGCTTTCGGAGTTGTAATGCTGTAACCAGGATACTAAGCACACGGATTTGTAATGCGGCTGTCCTTTCCAACCTGCACTACACTACACCACTGCAACTTGTCATGCGTGACTGCCGAAGCTTCTGGATTTGTGTTGCGAGCGCACCGTCTTGAATCTGGTGCGGGGTCGTTTTTCCTCAGGATAGGATATCGTCGTGCAGGAGAAGATTCGGGAGAAGCATCTCGACTTGCCGCACATTTCCAACCTGCACGAGGACCCCATGCTCGCCGGGAAACTGCACTACTCCTTCCCGCCGCCGGGCAAGGACGACAAGGACGACAAAACGGAATGGTGGCTCGGACGGCAAGTGTTGAACGAGAACTGGAAGCCGCACGTGGTGCTTGCTGGCGTCGGCATCCAGAAGAAGCACTGCCGCATCACGTCGAAGAAGGATCCGAAAACCAAGAAGAACGTGGTGACGCTGTTCGTTTCGGACAAGACTGCCATCGAGACCACCTTCGTCAACGGCGACAACTTCTTCTTCGAGGGCGGCGAGGGCTGCGAGCTGACGCACGGCGACCGCCTGATCATCGGCCAGAATTACGTGTTCGTGTACATCGATCCGGCCACGTTCCTCTCATCTGCGGACGGGAAAACGGAGTACTGCAACGACCTGATTGACGCGGGGAAGTGCAGCTACGAGTTGGCCAAGAAGGAGCTGGCCGAGAAGCAGGGCGACCTGTTTCTGTCCGGGCAGATGAATAAAGATGCAGTGTCGTCGAACCAGGAGAATCTGAAGCAGTTGGAGGAGCAGAAGAAGCTGCAGCTGGAATACGAGGAGAAGCTGAAGCAAGCCGAGCAGAAGAAGCAGAAGGCGCAAGAAGAGATGCTGCTTGAGCTGAAAAAGAAGGAGGAGGAGTACCAGCAGGAGCTTTTGCGGATGCAGAAGCAGATGGCCGAGTCCGAGCTCAGCCAGGAGCTGAACCAGGAAAAAAAACAGGAGTCCGAGCTGAAAAAGATGGAGCTGGAGTACAAGCAGCGCAAAAAGCAGATCGAACTGAAGAACCGCCGGGAAATTTACCTGATCGAGAAGAAGCAGCGCATGCTTATCCCGAGTAAAAATGTCCCCACCCCAGAGTTGCCATGCAAATCTGCATGCCAAAAAAGTTTCTCACGCGGAGCGGCCCCATGAGACCCATTTTCCAATCCTGTTTTGGAATTTGCGATGCTTGAATCACCATGGTATGCTACATCTGTGATGCTTCTGAACTAGCTAAACACGACTGATTACACTGCGCGGACAAACTTGTCATGCCAAACAACCAGAGCTGGTTGATTTGTCTAGCAGATTTTCCATCTAAACTCTGGTGTGGGGACGTTATTAATCAGGACAACGCTCGCCCTCGAGGAAAAATTGCGCAAGGACCGCGAGCAGGACATTGCCGTCATTGAATATCAAAAGGAAAAATCCCCCCTCCCCATATCGAAAGCGAAATTTGTGATGCTGTATTTGAGTACACAAATCGACTTGTAATGCTAGAAGGCCAAGAGACGCAGCGGTGGCCTCGTTTGCAGGCACTTTGTCATGCTGTTTCCCACTTCCAGCTGCCCCCTGTCATGCTGAAGATGCAAGGCTTTCTCACGCCAACCAGCACTACAGTCCGCATCTTTTCCCTTCTAGCATGACAAAGCTGATTTGTGACCACAAATCTGCATCACAAGTTTCTAGTTTGAGTATGGGGTGGGGGGATTTTTCACTTTGATATTGAAGAGCTGCTGACCACCAATGTCCCGCTGTGCAAGGAGGCGACCGCCCTGTCGCTGGAGATGAACAAGGGCTACTCGTACCACCTCCGGCTGAACATCTTTCCCGTGACCGACATGGCCGGGAAGAGCCTCCGATCGGGCGGCTTCCGCCTGCTCCAGCCCTCCGTGCTGGTGGTGTGCAAGAGTGCGGAGGGCGACCAGCTCTTCGAGTGGGACGCGGACACGCTGGAGAACCGCGTGTTTCTCATGCGCGAACTTTTTGACCACTGGTGCCTAGGCGGCCAGTTCGACCTTAAGACGCTTCCGGTCGACCGCGACCCTTTCTGGGACCCCGTCACGACCGAGTACTTCATCGGCAGCTGTCGTGTGTACTTGGAACCACTGATCTACGGCTGCCTCGTGTCCGTCGACGCCAAACTCCTGGGGCCGGAGGGCAAGCCGGCGGACGCCTACCTGCGCGTCGAGCTGGAGCGAAAGCAGAACTCCACGGAAAAGTCAAATGCGGGCGACAAAAAGTACGACTCCATCGAAGAGCTGGAGGACGAATGCGACCACGGCCTGACCGGCGGGAGTTTCAGCTTCAAAATCAAGGTGGCCAAGCTGCGGAAGCTGGACGCCAAGAAGTGGAAGAACCCGCGCGTCGAGTTTCAGTACTACGTCGACGAGAAAACGGTGGTGCGCCCGAAGCGGGACAACAAATCCGAGTTCATCTTCGACTACTCGAAGACGGTGAAACAAGATCCCGTCACGGAGCGGTATCTGGAGTATCTGCGAACGGGGGTGCTCACGTTTTCGGTCTTCGCCTTTTCCAAGCACGCTATCCAACTGGACCAGGAGCAGTATTGTGAGGAAAAATCCCCCTTTCCCTTATCGAAAACGAAATTTGTGTCGCTGTATTTGAGTACACAAATCGCCTTGTATTGCTAGAAGGCCAAGAGACGCGGTTGCTATCTCGTTTGGAGGCAATTTGTCATGCTGTTTCCCGTTTCCAGTTGTTTCCTGTCTTTTGAAGACGCATGGCTTTCCTGCGCCCGCCAACACTACAATCCGAATCTCTTCCCTTCTAGCATGACCACGCCATTTGTGATCACAAATCATGCTGCACAAATCTCCGTTTTCATATACGGAGGGGAGATTTTTCATTTTGATAAGCAGCAAACCGAGCTTGCTGAACGCCAGGACCAAACCTCCTCGTCCCCGGACAGCAAGAAGAAAAAGGCTGAGGCGGCGCAGAAGAAAAAAACCGCGAACGAGAACGAAGAGCTGGATGCAAGCACCAGCGGAGCCTATTCTGGGCAAAAACGGCGGCAACACCCCATAGTCAATGATTGGTAAATCTGCAACACAAATCCTGAAGTTTTGGGAGTTCTTCATGATAATTTTCTATATGTAGCGCAGTGCTGCTTCGCAATGGAACAGCCGCATCACAACAACGCCTGCTTACAGCATTACAAATCTCAGAACACAACTACAAATTCGATTCCTCTCATGCGGATGTGCATTCCAAATACCCCCGTAATTGCAAATCTGCATGACAACTATGGGGTGGGTACGTTTTTGCACAGTATAGCGCGGGTCCCATGTTTTTCGCCGAACAGTCACGGACCAGTCCCGAGCTGAAGGGAAATAACAAATCCCTGTATCCTGAGGAAAAACGTACGCACCCCATCCCCAGCAGATCTGTCGTCAAATACCTCTGCATGCTCGGTAAGTATCGTCTCGCATGCAAAAATCAGGCTTCGAGATATCTCAATTTGATGTGACGTGCTTGCATACGCTTAAAACGACGTCGCAGCGAGTTCAGATTTGTCGGGTCAGACACCTCAAACTTTGTAATTGTCTTATCCAGATTTTCTCTCTTGACTCTGAGGTCGTTGTGTTTTTGCCCAGGATACTCCGGCGGACATGGCTAACGAGCAGCATTTCTTCGTCCCGTCGCCGGATCTCAACCGTAAGCGATACGAGGTTCTCGATAAAAATCGAGACCAGAGTCAGGCGTGCGTGATCTTGTAGACATTTTCGCAGCGCTGTCGGTGTCGACAGAGGCTGTTCAAAAGCCCGCACGTCACTTTTCAGAATTTTTTGATTGCTGAGAAAACATCACCGTTTCTTCATCAGGATGTCAAGACAACACTAATTTTCAAATGGAGCATCGCTTGCTGCTACCAACACAAATGCGCTTCACTCAAACAGTCTTTTTATTCAACAACGAGCACACACTCCTTTTTCTCAAAGTCTACTTCAGAAATATTGTTTTCGGAAAAGTAAATCAAATCCAGCGGAAAAGAAATGATCCAAACCCTTTTAGTGGCTACACTGGCAGAGCAAACTTTGATACAAGGAACCAGACCCGACGGAAGGATGTTGAAGACGTCGTCCATGTTCTTGGAGGCACGAGTTTGGGTAACATTGAAATTATTTTTTTTAAATGCATGGTAACAGCAGACAGTCGCCGTGTCACCAAGGATATAAGTCAAGTAAAAGGCAAACGGTGCAACAGTGTAGCCGTCATGGCGCATAGGTAATTCCGCAAGCTACGATGTTGTTCCTCGCAGAGTTACTTCGGTCACTGTGGTACTTCTCCCCCCAATGTGATTCGTCTCTGCCTTGTGTCTTTTCGGTCATTGTGGTTTTTCTCTGTCCCGCCTCGATTCGTCTCTCTGTCTCGCTCGGTATTCTTCTTCGTGATTCGGCGTCGCTATGTTGCTGTCGGTCCCGAGTTGTTCCGGGGGCGGCCCGTCGGTAACTAATTTTCTGCGCCGCCCGTGTTGCGTAAACACCTTTTCGCCGCTGCCGCCCAGTCGATGCCGCCGGCCCGGGGAAATGGCGCCGAATCCGGCACCCCAAAAGGCGCAGGACGGCCGGCGATCGCGACCCACGCCAAGGAAGACACGGCCCCAGTCTTCGCGCAGCATTGCCCCGGCGAGGTGGCTGCGACTTCCGGCAGCAGGTCTTGATAATTGCGGGCCCGCCCACAATTTCCGGAAAGGCTCCCAAATCCGGCACCCCCGAAGGCGCAACAGCGTCGGGGCCGGCGGTCGCGAGCCGCATCAAGGAAGACACGGGCGCCACCCTTGCGACGGCTTCGCCGGGCGGCGTGCTCGCGATTTCCGGCGGG